AGAGGTTCCTGAGTGAGGCGCCCGGAGGAGGGGCCTGGCAGCTCCCCCGGCCCGCGGGAAGGGCCTCTGCCCTCCGTGCGCCTGGAGGTGCTTTGGCGGCTTCCGAGCTGTTCCCCTGGTTTCCCTCTGCCGAAGGAGTTACCGGGAAAAACAAAAAAATCGGAGTATATATTTTGGATAAGAGTAATATAAAAAAAGGTGGTGATTAATAATAAAAAAATTGTTTATAACCTGCTTCATTAATTCTGGTGTAAGTAATCTGGGTTTGTAGAGATACTAAGTTAAAGGTCACTGTGCTTCTAGTAACTGGGAATCAAACCTTCAAGTATTTGATTTAATGGGTTAGTTATTAATCTTTCCCTGACAGCTGTTACAGTTTTGCGTTTACATTTTCTACTTCTGACAAAAGTGTACATCCCAGGGAAGAAGAGAAAAGAAAAACAGGAGAAACAGTCAAACTGTTTCTGAAAGTGCTGTCAAATACCCAGAGTAAATAAAAACACTGTGTGCTTCGAGTTTGTTGTGTTTGTTTTGTGGAGTTTTTTTCTGTTGCTTTTGTTTGCTTGTTGTTGTTTTTTTTTATTCTGGAGGCTGTCAATAAGTTACTGTTTGTAGCAGTAAAGTGACTTGCAAAATCCTTTGTTTACTCCGAGCTGAGCCAGTCCCATTAAGTGAAAGGACACTTGCTTTATGTTACTTATTACTCTTGTTTTAAAAATTCTAACTGTGGAGTCTGACCTTAGGAGTAGTAAGGGTTGTAGTCCATTAAACTCAGTCTGAAAACTGCTGTTTGTGAAGTAAATATTGTCAGTGGTGCTGGTACACAGTAGATGAAGTGAAGATATTATGTTCTCTGTTGTGTTTAATTGTACTGTAACAAACCACAGGCTATTTTGTTACAGAAATACTAAGTTGTAAAATGCTTAATAATATTCTTGATTATGATATCATTGTATTTTAAAATTCTTTCACTAGGTTCATTCCAGCCAACGAATGAAATGATGCTCAAGTTCTATAGCTTTTATAAGCAAGCAACTCAAGGACCGTGTAACATTCCACGACCTGGATTTTGGGATCCAATTGGTAGATATAAATGGTAAATTTTTATCAGTTGTTATTTTGTTTTGCTTTTTTTATACTTCAAGTGAGATATTTAGAAGAGTGGGACTTGGAGAAAAAGTTTAGTGAATTTATTTATTTTTAAAAATACATTTACAACCTCTGATGCTTGAATTAATTTTCTGTCTTGTGTTCCAGCTTTCTAGTTCAGATGATTTGTAACTTCTCAGAGTTGCAGGTGAAAACATTCCCTCTGCAGGTGGCAGATTTTTCTTGGGCAAGCACAGTCATGGTATTGCAACGTTTAACCCATGCTGTAGAACAAAATTGTAGGTGCTGTGCAGAATGCATGATGTGGATGAATGCCTGAAATTCTTCCTTCTCAAGTTTTCATGTCTGATGTGAGCCTGAATTAAGCAAGTACTCACTGACAGCCATCAATAGAGAAAGCTTCAAGCTCCTGGGGAGAGGGCTGGTTTATGTGTCTGTCTGGTTTGTCTGCTCAGTGGCAGGGCTTCTCACTGCCTCTGTTTTCCTTGTGCTGGGAAGACTTTTGATTCACCATATAGCTAAGGAATGTATGAAGAGCCATGTGCATGCTTCGCTTATTAAATTTTAATAATGATCTGTCCTGAAGAACAAGTATTATTGCTGTCTTTACAGTCATGGTCTTATTTGGATCTATTAAATTATTCCTTTGACTTTTTTTCTTCCTTGCTTCCTTCCTCCCCAGCCTCCTCAAGTCAGGTTGAAGGGGGGTATCTGCAGAGATCTAGGGCAGAAAGTTTCCACCCACCTAGTTGATTGTAGCTGAAACATGAGCCCCCAACCTTAGGGTTTTGCTCTAAGTAGGGCACATAGTCTGGCAAGAGGAAGTGACACTGTCAAGTCAAGTGCACGACTGAGTAAGGAAATGTTTTATTCCAGACTGTGTTTTGACAGAGTCCATGTGCAATACTGATAAATGTCACTGGAGTTTTCTGTTTCGCAGAGTGGTAGAGACTAAGATGGTTTTTTAGGTTTTATGTAGCTGCTGTGGTAACTGGTTAATCTATTTGCCTGCTTGACTGATGTGTCTTTCCCCAGTTGCTAAACTTGAAAAGGACAGACTTGTGTTTTTTTTTCTTGTAGCCTCTTCTAACTTCTTGACACCAGTTTGTAAGTGCTGTCTGAAGCATCTGTGTCTGCTCTTTTTCTGCAGTAGAGGGTTTTTTAATCAACTTAAATCAAAAGAGAAATGTGTGTGTCTCATCTCTGGGCTCATTAACATCTTATTGGTACAATATCATAGGTGGTCAGTGAGGAACTCTTCAGTCCCTAGGCTCTTCAGTTTATTGTTTCTTTGTTAATGTGTCACTATATAGTCATTCTAGCAAATTTCATATTTGGACTTAAAAATTGTGAATTGTTGTTGCATTTTATTTGTAACACAGAAACTTTGGGCATTACATAACTGACCTACTTAAGGCCAGGCTGAAAAAAAATCCTGCAAGCCTTGAAGATACTGAAGATGTATGTGCCCTTCTTTTCTAGGGATGCCTGGAGTGCCTTAGGAGACATGTCCAAAGAAGAAGCCATGATAGCCTATGTTGATGAAATGAAAAAGGTAAGTTTACTAATGAGTGGAAGGGAGGAGGTTCTTGCTGATTACGACTGTCAAACCTCTAAATGAGCTGTTCCCTATGTGAACTGTTACCTTTCAGTACTGTTTTGTTTTGCCTCTTTTGTTTGGGATGAGGTAAATTGTGTAGTTCCTTCCAAAGTTGTGGAACTTGAGTTGTTTTCAGGGGAACATAAGGGCTTCAGCTGATACAAATCTTAAATGACAGAGATAAAGAAAGTGAAGTATTGAAGTCATGGTAATGGGGGCAGTGGGGAAAAAAGTGGATCTTAAAAGTATGGTGAAAGATAAGTTAATTTACTGCAAACTGCCTCAGTTCTCAGAGTTGAGAGAGGTATGTTATTCTTATCTTGCAAAGGGAAAAAACAGCCCTGGAAGGGCTTGAGGAATAAGAGCCTTAATCTCATGATTGGAGACATAAGTATAATCAAATATGTAAACTTAATAATCTTTGATTTTTCAAGAACAATTTTGATTTTTTTCTCAGCAACCTGAATTTTCCATATTTGTCATGAAGATATTCCTTGTATACGATAGTTGCAGTATAACAGTTAGAATGTACTCATTTAGTCTGTCTTTTTTGGAATAGACCCTGCAAGCAGTTGTAGTTACTATATTAATCAGGAACTGCAGCATTAACCAAAGTAAACATTCAGAATGAAGGTATCTTGTCTTTTATTAACCCTTTTTATTGCAGTATTTTCACTGAAGGTCTTCTAAGTGGCCTTCCCAGTTTAAAGATTATTTACTGTAAATCTAGATAGAAGTATAATTGTAATCTGTTATTTAAATGAAGTTAGCTTAAAGGAGAGAAAATATAAGTTCTACTCAAAATACACTTTCATTTCTCCTAGGCCACTGTCTTGACATTGAACTCAAAAGTGTTTAATAATTGATTCAACAAAAACTTTTACTAGTCAAGGAGCTGGATTCTGACTAATGTTCTTTTTCCTGTCTGAAATTTTGTAGATTAGTTCCTGCTGTTATTACTGTAGCTGTATTAAAATGAAAAAATAACTCCATAAAACACAGAAGGCCAAATACTATTTTGGTCAAAAATCCCAACTAAATTTTAATTTGAATGCATGCCATGAGATTTAGTGCTTCATTTCAAATCTCTGATTCAAAAATGTGTTAATACTTCCATAGATACGGTGCCTTATATTTTTTCAACGTAGTAATTGGTTTGGTCAGGATGCTAACACTAAGTGAAACTGCAGTGTTTGTTCTAAAGAAGTCCTAGTAAGCCTTCTGTGCAGAAATCTACTTCCTTGACCCTAACAAAGCACAAATATTCTGCCTCTGTACAGATTATATTGGAGAGCAAATAACTTCTTGCCTCACTTAGCTTTGAAACTGGGGAGTCTGTTTGCCCTCCTCTGGTGCTGTTGCAGCTCTCACATTTGAAATACTAGCTTCAGCTTTTCCAACCTCATTGATTCTACTTGAAATGCCAGTGGAATGCATTCCAAATGGGTCCACTGGGTTGTTTGGTCAGCACACACTGCACTGATCCTTGTGGGGTTTCTCTGGACATTGCATTGTTGCTGCATACGTATCCAGGTCTAAGGGGGAAAACACCACATATATACTGGTATCACAGGAACGGGACTGTGTTTTTGAAAGTGGATAAAATTGTCATGATCCCCCCCTACCCCTAGGACATGTCCCTGGCATTTGCACATTGTGTTTGGGATATATGTGCATCAGATGATGCTGTCACAAGACACTTTCACTGTAAACTTGTTTGGTGTTTTTTTCCCCTCTATGGGGTAGCCTTGAAAATTGGGGCTGTTGAGGAATGTGTCTAGGTGAGGTTTTGAGGTGCTGGTGGGAAACGATCAAGCATGTCTTAGCTAATGTGAATTCGAGCTCAGGTGCATTTTGTTTAAGGTTAATTTTTCTTCCAAGTAGAATTCCTGAAATTTTATATTGCGATACCATTTAAACAAATTTATTTGCACTGCAGATACATTGTCTTGTATCACTTTAAATGAGTGATACCTTAGCATAAAAAAGTGTTAACACTACATGGTGTTTCCAGATTAAATTGTGTATTTGTATATGAATTGTCTGACATCCAAAGAAAGCAGTAATTCAGGCTACATAATAACTGATTTTGCACTTTCAAATTTTAAGATTGTGTATTATGCCTAGTGGCTGTATAAGTGAGCAATTGGTTTTGTTTGCAGAAGTATTTGTTCTTTTCTTGCTCACCCAAAAGCTATCAGTTACAAAACTCTTACTTTAACAGAAGCTGCATGGTGAGATTCTAAAAATTGCTCCAAGTTGCAGAGAGTATAATTAGGTCGGTTTAGAACAGATGAAGAGCAGTTATGTGCAGATATCCTAGAAATGCAGGTATTACAGTGGAGACTATAGAATTAAATACATAGCAAATACAAGTGTTACTAAATAATACGTTTCTGGTTTCTCTCAATGCTGTTGAAGCTTATAAAAAAAAACCTTAAACTTGAAAAACTGTTTTGTCTCTGGTTCATATCCAGCTCTGTATTTGAGCACTGAGCATGTCTCCCTAACAAATATGGAACGAATTACATACACTGAATGCATCAGAGAAGTGGCACTGGTTGACAGGATTGTTGTCTCTTTGTATCCTTGATGAGTTTGCAAGTGTTGACTTGTGACCTGCTAGCCTGCCTGGAGCTCCTGCTTTGTGAAGCTGTGCTGTAGCTTTTGGTTCTGCTGCTTAATGATGTGCTTGGTGCTTTTAAGCACATGTTTTGTGACAATTTGTACCTCCACCTGTTGCTTTCTTGCTGCTCTTCTGGAGGAGGACATATACTGCACACTGTAGCTGTTAGCTCTTTGCTTCTAGCTGAATCCCGCCTTCTAGCTATTGCCTCATAAAATAAACAGTAATAAAAAGGTAGAAGATGAAAGAACAACAAAGCTATCAGCAAAAGGATTGGTTGAAAGACTTAAATAAGAATAGGATGATAACACACTTTAAAAATAACATGCAGTTATCAAATCTCTTTTGTTTAATCTGTTTAGGATCTAAGACTGACCATCTGATAGGTATCCAAAAAGATACTGGTTTTGTAACTTACAATGAAGATATTTTTGTCAAAGGAAGAGCTCCCAATGGCTTCAAGAGCAGAATTTGGTTCTAGTTTGCTCTGCTAAGTATGTCTTTGCACTGTCCCAGTTTTGCTGTATTGTGTGCATTTAGTTGTTTGGGTTTAGATGGACCCAGTAGGGCACTTTTGATCTGCTCCTTACATTCTATTGAAAATGTCAGGGTTAACAAATACAGAGAATCCTCTACAAAAAAAATATTTCAGTTCATTTTCTCTGTGGGAGGACTTGTCTATAAAATAAATTGCCTCAGATAACAGCAGCTTGTTGAACTTTGGTTTACTTTCAAATTGCTGAAATAATGGATTACAAGGTCTACTGTTCTGAGCTGGTCCTTGGGTAGTGTCAAATGCATTAGCTCTCCCATCTTCTCTTCACCTAAAAGAAGTTAATACAGCTAATTAAGGTTCTTGTTTGGTCAATTAGGTTTATGTTATTTTCATTTAATGAAAAAAGATTTAAAAATTAGAATAATGTGTCAGGTGACTTTGTGACGTTACCAAGTTTTACAGTGACCAGCAGTTTCTAAAATGAGTTGAAATAAATGAATCTTTGAAATACTGTTTCATAAGATGCTTCATATTTTGGACTTGTGCAGATTCTTGAGAGTATGCCAATGACGGACAAAGTTGAAGAACTACTGCACGTAATAGGCCCATTCTATGAGATAGTAGAAGACAAAAAGAACAGAGGATCTGACCTAACCTCAGGTTCGGACAAATTACTTCCTTTGTACTACTCATAATCACAATTCCAGATTTTTTTGGGCTTGTTTTCTGTCAATGATTTTAAAGCTAAACATTGCATCTTTCTGTTCATTCTCTTTATCATACGGCAGTTCGAATGGAGAAAGTCTCTAAGTATTTGGAAGGTAGGAATAATAAATTATGTGTAAATCCATCTTTTCCATTGTTTAGGTGCTGTAGTAGCTTCCTGCTAATGTTTTTGACTTCCGGGCTTGCCACCTCATTAGGCTGGATTTTGTTTTATTTTGCTTTTGAGGTACAAAACAAAGTTAGACTCAGGAATCTGCACTTCTAGTCCTTGTCTACAAGCTTTTTGAACTGCTCAAGGAACTCTCTTCCTGACAAAAAAGGGTAATATTTCAAACAAACAACAACTCTTCCAACCAAATCTGTTTTCTGCTTTTCACAAGGAACAACTATTTGAAATATGTACTGCTAAACCCCAATGTAGCTGTGGACTGTAAAACTGCATGCAGAGCTGGTAATTCAGCTCTGTCATCTGATTAAAAAAAAATAATTAAAAAATCCACAATCAAAATCCATACTTTTTGGGATAATAATTTATCTAATACATACAGAATCCAAGATGGGTTTTTCTAAGCTTTCAAGTTAGTTTTCTGAGGCTCAGGTTCACAAATGGAATATCTAAACATTTTAAATCTCTGAGAAGTGGCAAACCTAGTGGTGTCATAGCTACATAAAAATCAGTATGGTGATTTTTGTTTAGCAATACCATTGTGAGAATGTTTTTTTATTAAAAGTTAGTAAGTTACAAATAATGCATTCATAAGTTCTGTTATGTAAGTCTATCTTAAAATTACAATTAAGTTTTGTCTTGTTGCATTTCAGTTTTTGAAACGATTTTTTTTAAATCCATTGCACAAATTACTTGGTTTAATGTGTTTAAGAAGTAGGAGTGAGTTGGTTAAGTTGCATTTTGTATGTGGCTTTTTTCCTCCCACCTTAAAGGAACATGGTTTTGGTATTAAGTCTCAAAGGAACAGAAACAGTTTTTCATTGGTTTTGAGGAAAGATAATGGTAGAAGTTTTAAAATGGCTATTTTGAAAGCTGTGTGACTTTTTCTCAACTGGAATTATGTGTGCTTCATATCTGGAATTTAGTGAGCTTGCCTGACAGCTGGATTAATGGGCAAGATTTTAAGAGTATCAGTAGATTCAGGTCAGTGATCTGTGTAATAAGGATTTACTAGGACTTGGTGTTTATGGCATGGTGCCAAAAGCCACTTCTTAAAAAACTGATTTACCTAGACAAGCAGAGAATCATAGAAATTAAACCATACCTGTCTCAGTAACAAATTTAGCATACTTGTTTTTTACAGAGACAGCTAACACATAAGGCAGTGTAAGTAAAACAGAATAGCAAATTTCAACTTGATTATCTTGTTCTGTCAGTGTTGCAATAAATGTGGTGATATGTCATCATTCTTATGTTTTAAAGCTGCAACATCTTATTATGCCACAATGAATTAAGACAGAATTTTTACAAAGTCTGCTGCATAACTTTGCCATTCCATTTAAGACTCTGAAAGACTTTCTTCAGCACTTTTACCATTTCCCCTATTAAAGGTGAAGCTGGAAATAATTATTGTTTACAGTGCAGGTCTTAAAATACTTCACCGAAATATGGAAGCACGAGTAACTTCAGTCTTCTAGATATATGCTCAAGTATAGAACCAACCTTCCCAAGTCTGTGTTTGAGATAGTGTAGACATTGGTGACAATACTGTTACAAATTTTACAAATTGACAAACAGTTATGTTTTGATTGTGCTAGTTCCTCTAGTCCTGTTTCTTCTCCTGCCCCCAAGACCCTACTCTTTGTAGCTTCTCTTGTGGAATGTATTTATTCATGGGCTAACAACTGGTATGTTCTGGAAACTGGGACCCTTCTCTTGAGTCTCTTACTTTATACTGTACTCTCTCCATCTTCTGGCTCATTCTGTTTTGAGTTTTCCTTCCATTCTTCTTCCATCAGATTTTAGTCTGTATGAAGACCATTACTTAATTGTGCAAGAATTGCACACCACCTTCTCAAAATCAGTCCTATAGTTGAATTAGTTGAAGAGCTCATCTGGAAGTATAGTTGTATCAGCTGTGGCTGGTGTATTGTCTCTAGCAGATTTGCCTTAACAGAAAAATGTAGCCTTCTAAAATGGAATTTCTACTTGTGTTTTAATTGAAAATGTTAAATGCAAACCACTAATACACTGTCTTCTTGAATCAGTGGAGCTTGTGGCTCACCTTAATAAAGAACACTGAAGCCAGACATGCCAGCATTGAAATTACTTGTAACATCTACTAGAAAATTAGGATCAACTTGCCAGATCCATAGGTTACAAATATCCAGATTTGAATGTGTTGGTAAAGAAAGGAAAACAGAGAAATCCCTCTAATAGGCTGAGCAAATCTGAGGGGTATTTGAAAAGCATGTGACCTGGGTAGTGTTTGAAAGCTTATCTTGCAACTGTGTGAGCAGCTTAGATTCTCTGGAAAGTTGAGTCAATGGTCTCCTTCTGACAGGTATGAAGTACTTCTTTACAGCAAAAATTATTGACAAAGCATTTTCAGGTACATAAAACTAGACATGAAAGAAGAAAATAGGCTCTTAGCTGTCATAGCACAACAGAAGAGAATAGATAAATTGCAGTATTACAGAAAGACTCTTGTTTGCAGCTGCTGGAGTGGTAAAGACTGACAGGTGTGGTGGTGGGGGTGCTTCAGAAGAGCAACCTTTAAACTTTTTGCACTTGCTAATAAATATGCAAGAAATCTCATGTCCAGGCCAATACTAAAAAGACAAGCTTCAAAATACCATTGCTCAGTGAATTTGAAATTTTCAGAGTGGACAGTAAAGCTTCTTATGTTACACCTGAAGAAGACAAAGTTGGGCTAGAATTAGCACCCTGCTGATCTGACATTGGGTGAAAAATAATGAGAGTTTCAGAACCAATTAATAATTCTCAATGTTTCTTTGAGACTGTTTGTCAATGTTTGCTTTTTCTCTGAACGTGCATAAATCCAAAGGGGGACAATCCCAACCTGGCAAGGCCACACTAATTTATCCCAACAACTAAGCAAAGAATCTGTAAGTTGTTCAGAAGTCCTAAAGTAGAATGTCCCTGTGTATGCTTCCTGCTTTGTGACAGGGCCTTTAATCTGTTTTAAAATCCTGCTAAATAAAGATGAACCTTTGCCTTTATGCTGAGTATTAATACTCTTTGTAAGCCTTTGTGAAGACTAAATGTTGCCTCCAGTAATGACAAGTTATACACTGCAGAGACTGGAAAGTTTCAGCATTATAATACTCCAAAACTTTGTCATCCTAATGAGTGTTTCTCTCCTGAAAGCTTTGCTCCCAGCTGTATTGCATTTGTACCAAATGAAGCCCTGTTGAAGCAAGGTGGCTCATATAGCTGTGTATGCAGCTTTGGGCAGTGCTAATTGTGGTGCAGCCTGTCTGTGCTAGGAGCCCATACAGGGCACTGCTTCAGTAGCAGCTTGTGTGAATGGCAGCACTTGATCAGTGTCTTCCCACATGCGATGTGGGAACTAGGTTTAATACAAGATGAGGTCTGTGGGCTTTTAAAACAAGCAAAGACATGAAAATGCTTCTATTTCAAAGGCAGTAGTTAGTACAGGACATGGGTAGGCTTAGAGGGGAGGACTGCACTTGAAAAAAGTGAGTCGGGTCTTAATTATTACTTTCCAGGTAGAAATGCTCTTGTTTTTAACATGCAGTTTTCTAACTGTGCTTCTGTAGATTGCATATGATTAGTTTCTCAAAGAGTTTCTCATATTATTTTCAATATACTTGCTTTGTGATGGAGCATTTGGGAGCACGCTTTTCCTGCTTGTGGGGGGGCCTCTTCTGTGAAGCACCCTCTCTTTGCTTCATAAGCTCACTTTATCATTTTTTTTTACTTCAAATATACCTATTAAACTGATTTCCTTCCTTCTACTTCCTCTTTTTCTCATTAGGGTTTTGAGGAACTCAATGGCTGTGAATCTTTTAAATGCTTTTTAAGAAGGGGAAAAGATCTAAAATCCCTGTTACTCTGAAATTGCTGTGTTTTAGTAGGTTATATTGAATGGGTGGCAGCACCACAGATAGGAGGTGGTTAAGGCAGGTCAAGCATGGGGCAAGAGGCTCTGGTGGGTGGGTGAGAGAGGTTTTTAAAATTTTGTCCTTTAGACTTTTTCTCCTCTTCTGGTTTCCAGTGATCAGCTAACACCTATAATCAACTTTACATATTATATTCAGGGAGGCTAGTGTGAAACATGATATACAGGTATTTTTGCTAATATTTCAGCAGTTCAGTAGCTTACTTTCAGAAGCATTTAGAACATTCTCTGCAGCATTTGCTGCAGGATGGGCTTATTACAGGATTAAGGGCTGGGCCAGCAGGTGCCAAAGTCAGTGGAGAGTTTCAGTGAGATATGGATCAGTGTCTCAAAAAGCTGTGGCTTGTTCTGTTGCAATATATATCTGCTTCAGGCTCTCCAGTTCAGATCTGAGCCTGCTTAGTTACCTCTCTTCAGTCTGATGTTTTTTTTGCCAGTGCTGGCGTTGGAAAGCCAATGTGAAGGTGTTGGAAATTAGGGCAGAGCATCAGCGTAGCTGAAGCCTGAGGATATCAACAGTGCCTCTCTCCTCCAGAGTAGTAGAGAATTCATCACTACAGGGTGAACAGCAGAGTGACCAAAAGTGAAAATGTAAGAATAGAAATTGTTTCTTTCAAAGTGGTAGGGGCTGAGGGAAGCTTTCTTCCATGAAAATAAAAGTCTTGTCTGTATTCTGTTTCATGCTGGATTGAGTCAACAATAACAGTTTTTGTGCATAATTCACCATTGGACCTGGATTTTTTTACTTCAGCTAGATCACAGTTCCTGCAGGACGGAAAATAAATTGTCAAAAGTTCTTCAGATTTTGAGAAACTTAGCAGA